TTTTTCTAGAAACTTTGACATCAGTAAAAGACATCTGACATCAATGAAAGACATTTTCAGGTAAACATTAGCTCAAAAAATCTTTCATGCTTTCTCCCTCAGAAAGCTAACAGAAAATGTGCTCCTGCAAAACAAGATTATAAACTGAGCAAGATGATGAAATGAGATACAGAAAACAGGGTCTGCAGCAGAGAAAGTGAAGGGCAGGCCGAGAAGGAAGGAGAGCTCTAGGATTGGGAAGTGGAATGGGACCAGGGAATCAACAAGGGGCACATACAAAAAAGTAATACTAGGTAAATTAAAAAGGAAACTGTTAACTTCAAGAGAAATGAAGAACCACATAAGTAAGTGTAGTCATGTTACACTACTTAACCGGCAGGACTATTTACACAATTGAAATATAAATCTTGGGGCGCCTGGGTGGTACAGTTGGTTAAGTGTCCGACTCTCAAGTTCATGATCTTAGGGTTGTGAGACAGTCTCACAAATGAGCTCCAAATGAGCATGGAGCCTGCTTAAGATTCTCTTTCCCTCTGCCCCTCCCCACCTCTTGAAAAAAAAAAAAAAAAAAGGTAAAATTTAAATCTTGACTCTCCAGTGAATCACAAGCTGTCATTACTTATGGCATGCAGGTAAAGAAGCGGGGACTCCACCATGGTTAATAAATAATGTCTAAAATTGCAAAATCAAGAACTAGCTGTGAATAAATTATTTACGAATATGGAAGTAAATAGGTAGAAGAAACAGTGGAGGGGAGGACTGAAGGGAAGTACTTTATGCCTTTTCTACTGTTAAGTTTTGAAATTTTCTTTCGTTAAAAACATTTGAGAAAACCCGGTCTTAATACAAGAGTCCAACTAATATGGAATATAGGTGAGGTTGGGTAGGGTGAGGTTCTGAGCTAAGGGCCAAGAAAGAACTCTTGGACGTCTCTGATGCAAAAAGACGGTTTTATTAAAACATAAACAGGACCTGAGGGCCGAGGGAGTTGCACTGGGGTTGTGAGGAGCAATTGATGATATACTCTGGGTTGGGGGAGGTAAGGAAAAAAGACAGGTTTTCAAAAGAACTTTCATATGCTAAAAAAGACCTGCGAGATACCTGAGGCCTTGCCATTTTCAAGTTAAGCTTGTTTTTCCCTCTAGCAAGGTATTAACATTAAGATAGCTGGGAGCTTCCTGGAAGAATGTCACGCACACCCTATGGCGGGGGACGGGTTGCAGAGTGTCAGCTTCCGCTTTGTCTCCAGCTAGCCTTCTGCTCCCTCATCATAAAGAAAGGAGGGGGTGTCAAAGGACACTAGTTAAGAAACCAATGCAAGCCGGAGATGAGGATGGTAGTGGTGATCACAGACATGGAGAAGAGAACATATTTGACGTTTCTTATAGACACAAAACTGAAGACACTTCCAGACAGAGCTGGTATTTGTAAGGGAAAAGGGATGGGACCAAAGGAAAGGGCAAAACCAAAGACACCCACATCCTTGGGTGCTGGTAACATCTGAGACAGGAAGGGGGCAAAGGAGAAAACAGGGGACAGAAATCAAGAGTTCTGTTTTAGGGGTATAAAGTTTGAGATGCTTTTTATATCTCCAAGTGGGGCTATCAAGAAAAAAACGGTTGATACATGCATGAGCCTGGGGTACAGGAGAAAAGTGAGAGCTGGAGATGTCAGATTGAGTCATTAGTTACAGTTAATATTTAAATCTCCAGGGCTGGATAAGATACCATGGGGAGAGAAGAGAAGGAAAGGGAATAGAAATATGTATTTGTATTATAATGTTACAGAAATATAATGGAAAATTATATCTCATGGAATAAGGGCAAGTACTAGTCCATAAAATTTTTATTTCAGAGACAGAAAGATGATAGCTAGATTGATAGATGTATAAATAAACAGATATATGTAATTTATATACCTAAGAATGTACTGGGAAAAATGTATTTCCTATCAAAGACTGTGGTCCAAAAACATTTAACAAAACATTCTAGTGAGGGGCACCTGAGTGGCTCATTCGTTTAAGTGTCCGACCCTTGGTTTTGGCTTAGGTCTTGATCTCAGGGTCACGGGATCAAGCCCCATGTTGGGCTCCATGCTAGGTGCTGTCTGCTTCTCTCCCTCCCCTCTCCCTTTCTCTCTCAAATAATTTTTTTTTTATTTTATTTATTTATTTATTCGACAGACAGAGATTACAAGTAGGCAGAAAAGCAGGCAGAGAGAGAGGAGAAAGAAGGCTCCCCGCTGAGCAGAGAGCCCTATGTGGGGCTCCATCCCAGGATCCTGGGATCATGACCTGAGCCGAAGGCAGAGGCTTAACCCACTGAGCCACCCAGGAGCCCCTCTCAAATAAATTTTTTTTTAAATAAATAAATTCTAAGGGATGAGAAGCCAGGAAAAGATAAAGAATTAAGCACTATGGGACTAAGGTTTTATTAGACAGTAATAAATGACCTTTTCCCAACCAAATGTAGCCCCCTCAAGGTCCTGGAAATCTTGCCTCCAAAATTCCTTAGAGACTTACCTATCCCTAACCCCTCCCAACTTCAAAGTATATGATGGAGCACTCTTCCTGACCCCAGTGCAGCTCTTTCTGCCCTCGGGTCCTGTCCCCGTGCTTTAATAGAATCACCTTTTTGCACCAAAGACATCTCAAGAATTCTTTCTTGGCTCTTGGCTTCGAACCCTAATGTCTTTCCTACATCAGGAAGGTACTATGAAAACACAGTGTACAAAAGCCAAGAGAAATACTTCATAGAAGGAATGTTCACCTGTACAGAATGAGTATGAGAGGTTAAATACAATTAGGACTAAGTGACCACAGACTTAGTAATACCGAGGCCAGCTGTTACTGACCTTGACAAGAGCCACTTCAGTGAATGGTCAGAGTGGAAAGCATTTTAGCATGGACAAGAGGCAAGAAAGTACACACAACCAATATACAAAAGAGAAAGAAAACCTCCTGAGAAACCTGAAAATTTTGAAGTCAGCACTGACTGTGTCAAAGAGCCAGTCAGTTCCACAATAAAGTAGGTAATGAGTTTCTCGGGGCAGGCCTGTGTCACAGGTTTCTAATCTCCAACCTGACTGTATTTGAACAGGGCTTTTAGAGAGTTAACTAAGGTTAAAAGAATTCATAAGGGTGAGGCCCTAATCCAATACGACTCGCACTCTTTTTAGAAAAGATTTAGGGCACAGGCACACAGAAGAAAGACTACATGAGGACACAAGGACAAGACAGCCATCTTCAAGCCAAGGAGAAGCCTCAGAAGAAATCAACCCTGCTGACACCTTGCTCGATCTTGGACTTCTTGCCTCCAGAACTGTGGGGACATACATTTCTGTTGTTTGTATTTTGTTACGGCATCCTCACAAACTAACACAATGCCCGAGATTCTCCAGTCTCAAGTCTAGTTGGAGCCTTCCCTCCACTCCCCATACCCCAGGTCCAACCCAGTCAAAACATGAAACTACTCCATCATTAGCTCTCCCAACAAAACAGTGCTTGAATTACTTTCTTCATTAGGTCTGGACCACTCCAATCAAAATAAAATGTGTTTTACTTACCACACCTCACCTCTCATTCCACAATATTTTCTGAAACCAAAGGCAAGGCATTTTTAGAAAAATGAGTAAAATCAAAGTTAACTAGCTATTGGGAGCTGAGAGAACAAATAAGATGTTAAGTAGCAACAGGGAATTTGGGTGCCCCCAAAGACAGATTCGGCAAATATTCTACACAAGGTTCTGTATGGTCTACATGCCACACAGATCCCCACCTCCAAGCAGCTCGCATCCTCCTTCCTCACAGGCAAACAAATCACACAGATCTGGTTTTCCTTACTTTCAGCATCTTACATATCTACAATTAGCCCCAAATCCTGCCCTCACAAGCAGGAAACGGAGAAAAACGTTCAATTGTTTTATCATCAGAAAAGAAAGGCTGTTAACTCTTGTTCCTTCCTATGGCAAGAAAATTTAAAATACACATACAAGTATGTAAACACAAATATATATAATAAAATGCAACAGTAAATACAAATATATGTAAAATGCTTTTGCGTAAGTGCACACATCTTTTCCAAACACAGCTGATACTGAGCAGTTAGTACATTAACCGTGAAATGAATAAGCCCTACAGTATTTACTTTTATTTCTGACAAATTATTGCATCGAAGGCTGAACTAGCCTTCAATACATACTGGAATTATGAAAAATGAAACTCACTGACACCGGGTTCTCAATACTTCTCAAATTTTCACAATCCCCCAGTCTCTCTACTATGGGACTTGTGGTTATCAGTTACTGTATATAAAGAAATCAAGAAGATCTAAAATTGTGCTAATATTACCCTGAAAAAGTTTTACATCCTCCCATCCCGAGAAAGAAAAAAATTAAAAAATCACGACAAACAAAATAGCACCATTATTACCAAACAGAGTTAGGTTACTTGACCCTGGAAGTTTAATATAGCCGGTGTTTTTTAAATTCTGCCTTGCCTCGACATTTCTGCCTGAACTCGAAGTAAACAATTTCCCGGGCGCTTTCAACCCATCTCTGTCCCTACCCCTGATTAAGTGAAGGAAGGAAAACCTCTCATTATCATCAGGGTCAGAACCTCTGAAAAAGGAAAAGGAGTAACCAATCAGTTCACCTTCGAATACAGGCCAAGGTTAAAATCTGGGCGGCCAGTGTTAAGAATGGCAATCAGGGGCAGACGCTGCCCGTGAAGCAGTCTCTGGCTGAACCCCGAGTCAGGATGCCCAGCCATGGATCCCGCTCCTTCCCTCTCCAGGATGCCGGCGGGCCTCTCCTGGGGAAGGGACACGTCTCCCCCGGCTCAGCCTTAGAGCCAGGTGGACAGCAGACGATTTTAAGACACTTGTCCGTCCACGCCATTAAAAACAAAAACAAAAACAAAAAAACAGAACAAGAGAGCACCCGAGTCGCGCTGGCGTGTGTACTGGCGTGTGGCCGTGCCCCGCGGCGGATGCCCCACTCACCGCACACCATCAGCAGCAGCACGATCACCAGCGTGGCCACGAACACCACCAGGGTCAGCCCGATGTTGTGCCACATCTTGCGGGGAGGACGGCGGTCGGCGCCTGGCTTGCCGAGCGGCGGGCACGGGCGGGCCGGTGGCGCGTGCTGGGCTTCAGCGGCGGGCGCCGGGGGCTGCTGGGCGGCAAGGGCGGCGGGCGCCCCCTCGGCAGCGCCCCCAGGGGGCGGGACGGGGGCTGTGCGGGGATGGAGGGGGCCCTCCTTCGCTGCCCGGCCCGCGGAGCGCGCGGCAAGGCGCGACGTAGGGCGCCCCTACCCCCTCATCGCTCCGGGGAGCCGGGGACGCGTAGCCCGGAGACCCCGGCGACAGCCGGATGTGCTTCCATGGCGGACGCCGTGCGCCCGTGGACGGGAGAGAGGGCGAGCACAGGGACGCGCGGCGGCCACACGGCCCTCGTCGTCGTCCGCCCGGGGCTGATGAGGATGGGAGGTGGGAGGCCCCTCAGCTCCCTGAGACAGCAGGTAACGTCTCCCGCGGCGGCCGCCGCAGTTTCTCGACCCCAGTCCCCTCCCCCAGCAGTAGCTCAGCACCGAGCACGCCCACCGCTCTCCTCCTCCGCGGCGCGGGGCCGGCTGGGAGATGAAGTGCAGAGCCCAGTGAAGACTACTGGAGCCCGCCCCGCGGGGACTACAACTCCCACAATGCACCGCCAAGTCGGACGCTTTGCTTCTCCCTCCCTGTGCCTTTGGTTTTTCTGGAGCCACAACCTCTGTCTACCGACTGCGGTTTGGTCTTCTCGGAACCCGCGTTAATTGGCTGACTGTGCTGCGCTGTGCGAAAGCGCCCTAGTGATTGCAACCATTAACCCACAGATGAAGTCGTTTTGTTCCACGATCGACTGAGCGCCAGGAGGGAAGAAAAGGGGAGGCAGCTGCCTGGAAAACTGGTTGCATGTGAACCTAGCCTATTGCTGGGGGTGCGTGTTGGATACTTTGGCTTTTGAGGAAATACTCACCTCCGTGCCAAAAAGGCGAGCCAGAGGCGCGGAGTCTCCCTTTTCCTCCCGTAACAGATGTTGGTCTGTGTTTTCATGAGTAATATATTTCAGAAATGATCCGCGAGGGACTTAAGTACATCTGCTTACCCCTTAATTCACCTGAGTTGTAAATTCAATTCAGGGACTTAATTGAAACCAAGCTGCCCATGACCCAGAGCTGAGGATTCTGCCGCACTGGCTTGAACAAATCACTGTGAAACAAGACGATTTAAATACACTCAAGTACTCTATCTCTACCTGCAATCAAAACTCTTCAATTCCGCCAGATTATATTCCTTCGTTAAAGATGTGCCCCAAGAAGAGAGGATAAATGTGTAGCAAGGTACCGTAATAGCTTTCCCGTTCTCCTATGTCTCCGTTGCTCCCTGAAGTACCTTTCTGTTCTTCTGCAAATTCCTTTCATTTGTTCTCTGTCTCCAAAAACAAGCCAACAAAATCTGAGCAGGAATCTCTTGATTTCACAAATATATCTTGGCCGTAACCCAGCTGCCCCACTGTAAATTGTATTCCCTAAGCAGCAGTATTATGAATAAATACTGCGTATGAAAATACATTAAGGGATAATGACTGCAGAAGATTTAATACAGGGTTCCTATGAAGAGAATGAATCCAGTGCAGTTATGATATATTGATCAAAAAAGTCAATTCTGTTGCATAAATGAAACACATTTTATTAAAGCCCAATTGAATAGTTGAAAACAACACAACAGCAGGAATAATTTATTTTAAAGCTTTTTATCTTCCCTTCCATTCCCATGTATTGAATATGTAATAGAGGCCCGAATTCTAAATGCTAAGGATACAGCAGTGAATGAGACAAAGGTGTTTATATTCAAGATGCTTATATTGGAAGATTGAATAAGCATAAGTAGCGAAATCTCCTACCGCTCATTCCTGTAATGAAAACAAACGGGAGGGGCCCCTGGGTGGCTCAGAAGGTTGAGCCTCTGCCTTCCGCTCAGGTCATGATCTCAGGGTCCTGGAATTGAGCCCCACATCAGAGTGTCTGCTTGGCAGGCGGCCTGCTTCCCCCTCTTTCTCTGCCTGCCTACTTGTGATCTCTCTCTCTGTCAAATAAATAAATAAAACCTTAAAAAAAAAGAAGAGAAAACAAGCAGGAAAGCATGATAAAAAAAAAGGGGGGGGTGTTATTTTATACTGGGGGGATCAGAGAAGGCCTATTTGACATTTAATCTGAGACCTAAAGGGTCCAGCCATGGAAATACCTAGAGAAAGAGTGTACCAAGTAACAGCAGCAGCTAGAGCAAAAGGCACAAGGAGCAAACAAACAGCCATTCCTCTAGGCCTTGGTAGTGTTTCTCAACATTTCAGAGCACCTAGGGAGATTTAAAGATTACAAATGGTCAGAGCAAATGACTCAGATTCTCTAGAGGTCAGTCCCAAGCACACACTTTTTTTAAAAAGCTCCCAAGTGGTTCTAATGTGCACCCGTGGTTAACCACTGCTCTAAGTCATTGAGTCGTCTCTGGACCAGCAGCATTAGGATCCCCTGGGAACCTGCTGGAAATGCGAGTTCTCAGGACTTACCCAGACCTATTGAATCCAAAACTCTGGGGTAATCTCAGGGAAGGAAGGAAGAAAAGAAAGAAAGAAAAGGAAAGGAAAGAAAAAAGAAAAGGAAAGGAAAGAAAAGAAAAGATATGTTGGATTAGGGTAGTAATCAATGGAATAGTGTCAAGTGGAAAGATTTGGGGTATGTTCTGGAAGGAGAATCCTATCAGGATTAGCTGATAGACTAGGTGTGAAAACAGGTGAGGAAAAGAAATAAAAAATGACTCCCAGGTTTGTAGTCTGAGCTTCTAGGGGAATGCCCTATCTTGAAGTGGGAAAGACAATGCAGTCATCTCCCTAGAATGCTTTATGAACTTCTCTCTTTACAAACGATCCTTCGCTGTCCATGTAAAGAATGTGGTGACTGTGGTGAAGTCCCATAACCAAGAACGAAAGTCTTTTAATTTGCAGAAGTCCAAGGGCTTTTCCACTAAACCCTGCTGCCATATGTCTCATCATTTGCTATATGAGCACAAATCATATTTCCAAGGATAAATTCTGTAAGGATTTTCAAGGGTAAGGTCTTGAAATTACTCTCAAGCTATGATTATTTCTTGAGTCTACTTACTGTTCTCATCCCTGTATAAAATGCCCCACCTCCCTTCTTTCTGACCTCAAGCCTACTAATCCTTCAACGTCTGTCCAGCTTCCTCCTCAGTAAGATCTGCCAGCTTCCTATTCATTTGTCTGTCCAGCTCCTCTAAGCCAGTGGCTCCCGGCCTTACCTGTACATGGGAAGCTTTAAAGGCAGATTCTCAGGTTTCATGCCAGGCATGTGAAAGGTGGGCAGGAGGATATAGAGAATTTCTAACTGTTTAATACCCTCTAGGTTTTTAGAAGCACTAGTGCAAACTATATTTAGAAATTAATTAGGTACCTATCTTATGATATTCCTTGGATTATTTTATGTTATTTATATTTCACGCATACATATATATCATTTAATATATATATACACATACACACATATATACACACATTATATATGTACACACACATACACACACACGTTCTGATTCTTAGAGGACAGCATTTCCTCCTCCCCTGCTCTTTCCTTCCATAAGGGAGGAAATTCAATTGGTAAAGTCTAGACTCTCTGTGCTCTTTTATTTCCTGTGTCCTTGGTCTGGGGAGGAGTAACTTACCTAATTAGTGCGTTTAGGAAAAATAAATTGGGTTTGCTGAACTTGTCTCCTCCCACATTCCTCTTGGGTGTGAGCTGCCCTAAGCCTCTTGTCTGTGTAGGCTTTCAGCGTAGGTAGGGCCCCACTAGTTCAGCATTGCCTCAACTTAGGGTTTAATTAGCAGGCCTGACTGGCTCTCACATTATTATATGTTCTCTGACCTAGTCTTTATTATTAATAAAGGCGACATTTGGCCTCCATGTGTCTTACTGTTTTTTTTGTTTTGTTTTGTTTTTAATTTCTCAACTGGGCAACATTATTCATGGTTCCCTTTTAGCAATTCCACATAATTAAGATAATTAAGGGAAGAAGCCTTGCATTCAGCATTTATGTAGTACCACATAGTAGGTGCTAGTCGGATATTTAGTGGTCGAAATATTTGATCTCAAAAGCCTGGAAATAGCCCTGAATTTTAGTCATTTGATCTCTAAGTATTATGAGAAGAATTATGCTACATGCATTACTGGTTACAAAGGAACTAAGAGATGAGATTCCTGCCTTCAAGGAAAACCCAATCCTAAGGTAAGTTTTTAGCAAATACTACTTTGTACCAGGCACTGTGTTTGCCAGTAGCAATACAAAATAGATCAGATATGCTCTCTTACAAAAAAGAACTCAAACTGGCTTAGCCTTTTTCAACTTTGACCCTTCTGAGCTCCATAAAATCAGTTGAATAAGTCATGATAAGTACTTTAAAAAGTAGAATAGAAAAAAAGATATCACTGTGTATTATAAGTACTAGGGGCAAGCGCTACTCATGAAATTTGTTTTAGTTATCTATATATGTGTGTGTGTGTGTGAATTGAATTACAATGCAAAATATATTCCCTATAGGTTTTAATTTTACAAAGTGAAGACCTACTGTCTGGCAGAGGAAGCCAGACATGCATATAAGTGAATATATTGAATATTATTGTAGTGGCAACAGGCATTTTACAGATGAGATCAAGTCTCAGGGAATCTAAAAATTTGGGAGGAGGTAATGGGTAGAGCTGACATTCAAACCCAGATCAGTCTGATTTAAAAGAAAATTTTATTTCCATTGGACCACAAGACTGAAGGTGACAGGCTAGTTCTTAGGAAAAGGGGGAGATATGGGAAGAAACATGAGCAAAGTCTTGAAGTCATTATAATATATTTTGTGAGTATACATAAGGGTGGGTCAGGGTCCTTAAGATTCCATGAACAATATACAATTCCTTTCAGTTCTAATGAACTTGGAGTGGAGGTATAATATGGTGGTTGAGAACTCCTATTCTGTAATTAGACTCTGGATATAAAACCTGACTTGGTTGAATTAGTTCATCTCTCTAAAAGTTTAAACCACTACCACATTTGTAAATATTTATAAAATAGGCATACTAATAGTC